CCCCCCCCCCTCTCCCCACCAGAAAAAAAAAGAAGGTACCAACAAACCTTTGCATAGCCAACCCCTCCAGGCCAGGCACGCACATGTTCCATACTGACGAGCACTTTGATCGGTGCCAGTTCCTGCACGAACATGACAGAACAGGGACGTCTTAGAGTAGATAGAAAAGAAAGAAAGAAAAAAAACAAGCGAAAAAAAAAAAAAAAAAAACCTTCGTCCGCAAGCAGCCATTTTTAAGTGCAAAACTTTAAACATTTTTTTTCGGTTGAGGATATGGGATCTGTTCAGTGCATGTAGATTAGGTTTTACTTCAGTTATGAAAAAGAGAAAAGAAAAGAGAAAAGTTCGTTTGTCCTTTGGGACATCCATCAAAATTGGAACAATGCAGAGAAGATTCAATAGCATGGCCCATGCGCATTTAATGATGGCACGCAAAAATCGAGAAAGAGAAGTCCAAAAAAAAAAAGGGGATATTAATTTGCGAAATATCTGCGTAAGTTGAGACAAGTCCCGAAATGCCTCTAAAAAGTGCACATAGACTGGAATGCCCCTCTGACAAAACAAAACTTTTGTGAAATACCCCTGGCGTCGGTTGGACCCCACATCTTTGCAGTAAGTATATCTCAAAAGTCAAAAGGGCATTCTGCTCTACCCACAACTTTCAGGGGTATTTTGGCGTATATCTCAACTTGTGGGGGTATTTTGCAAATTATCCCAAAACAGAAGATTTCCTTCAGCTCCTTGAGTAACTAAGTTTGATGTTTGTGATCTGAGTGGAGGAAGAAGATCCCTTTGGCGCCAATTTGTCGCCAAAGGTATCCTCTTCCTCCACGAAAGGTACACACAGGCAACGGGTTGATAAGCAGATCATGAGTTCGAGCCCTGGTTAAGTCAGATGGATACAATCATACGATAATGCTAGGGTTTACTACCCCCTTTTTGGGGGTGAAAAACAGAAAAACCCTTGATACCTTGAGCTATGTTGATCACTCTTCTTCTTCTTCTTCTTCTTCCTCTTCTTCTTCCTCTTCTTCTTCTTCTTCTTCTTCTTCCTCTTCTTCTTCTTCTTCTTCTTCTTCTTCTTCTTCTTCTTCTTCTTCTTCTGTTGCTGTTGCTTCACACTCAGTGGTGTGAAGACAATTGAGGGGTGTTCTTTTTTGGAGGTGCCCCCTCGCCCCCACCTCCTCTCCCTGACAATGTGGGAGATTATTAAGTGAGTTCAGGGGGTAGGGGGGAGGGGGGGGGGGAGAAGGGGGGTCGATATCAGAAGGATGTGGTGCCTTGTTGCTGTGAAGGTTAAGTTTTTAACTTTTTGTTAAACAGATAAACACAGTGCAGAACAATTATAACACAGAGTGATCACCGGAGTTCCATGCAGGTTAATAATTGTTACTATTATTAAATAATATTAATTTAATAATTTTGGAATATGATCAGCCTGCTTTGCACCTAGATCACAGAGCAATGCGGACATCGGCACGCACGACTTATTCCTGTTTCGCTACAACACTCAACGGCTAAAGTGAGTGGGAAGGAAAGGCATATATTATACAATATTATACGAAAATTAAGAAATGAAATAACTATGCTAATGTAAGGAACGCTGGACCCAGTTTCCAGCTACAATGAAAATTTGATTTGTTAAAAAAAAATATTAAAAAAAACTACGCAATGTATGCACACAGTACCATGATACACAGAGACAGGGGAAAAATACAGAAGGAAATGTAGAACACTTTGGCGTTTTGGCTAGCAAGGTCATGAAGCTCCCCTCCTCCCCAACCCCTCTATTTGCGCACCCAGCCTCCCGCCCCCCACCCCCTGACCCATACCCTCCCATAAAATCCTCAAACATTACCCTTTACTCACCCTCCCGCTCCCCTCTTCAACCCTACCCTACCTCAACTACCCCCCTTTGCCCCCTCCCACCATCCCCAACCAAACTTCTCCCAGAAGGAAAAAGACAAACAAAGCAAAACAAAACGAAAGCCACTGATTGCAATACGTCCCCACGAACCATTTATCAGTAATCTTTAAACCCTAAACCCTAAACCCTAAACCTTTAAGCCTTAAAACCCTAAGCCCTGACCCTTAACCCCTAACCCCTAACCCCTACCCTAACCCCTAGTCCCTAAACCTTAAACCCAGAAACTGTTGCAAACACCGTTGAAAAGCACAAGGCTACACAGTGCGAACTGATTTGGAGACGGAAAAGTGAGGAAACAAAATTCTAGCATCCATTCGCATATCGAGCAAGAGCAGAAACCAGGCCCAGAAAAAAAAAAAAAAGGGTTAAAAAAAAAAAAAAAAAAAAAAAAAAAAAAAAAAAAAAAAAATCAAAATCAGAGTAAATTCACATGAAGATCAATCGCCTATCATCACCTCATTTTACTCTTTATAACCCAAACTGAATCCTCCTCTCCTGGAAGTCGAAAAGGCACTTTTGGTACACCGATTGGCATTTTTTCTCCTATTTTTTTATAACGCTTTGAAAAAAAAAAAAAAAAGGGTAAAAAAAAAAAAAAAAAAAAAAAAAAAAGTGGAAACAAAGAACATGGACCTTTCATCACAAATCCACTAAGACAGACAAGAGATGGAACAGATGCACAAGCAATCATCGCCCATGTTGTTTCCTCTTTTGTGCTGTACACAAGAGGAAACGTACCCCAAGCCGGTGATGCATGCATATGTCAATGACACTGTGCCAAGAAACGCAAGAGCATCTGCACCACTGATTCTTTTTATCATCATTTTAGTATTTTACCCTACCCCTGAGCAGCTGAGCTCCAAAAGTCTAAACCTTGGTTTGAACTCTGGACCTGAAACCCCAAACCTTGGTTTAAACCGTAGTCCCTTCTCTAACCCCGTTGGTCCTACATTTAGACCCGAATCCCCCTAAATCCTACTAAAAAAATTAAACCCTTATCTCCAAACCCTGCCCTAACCCCTAATTCCTAAACCCTGTTTAAAACCTTGTCCCCAAACCTGGCTTAACCCCTAAACCCTAAACCCTAAACCATACCCTTCCACCACAGACCAAGCATTCCAAATGTGCCACCCAATTGACAACCAACTACGCCTTTGGAAACTCAGGCCCCAATCTACATTTACTGGCGCAGGCACGAGGAGGGGAGGAGGAAAACAGACAAAACTTTAAGGTGATCCTCAAACTACCAGAGGAAGGAAAAAAAGGAACAAGGGTTAAAAAAAAAGTCGAAGGAAAGATAATGTGGCAGATGCAGCAAAAACGTCCAAATTACCAAAACCCTGTGGGGAGACGGAACAGAAAAAGGAGGAGGGAAGAATCAGAAGCCAAGAGGTAAGCGACAATGGCCCCAGTAAAGGAGAGATTGATTCGCTCCCAGACAAAGTGTATGTACTATGTATCTGGTTGGAAATTGGAATTGATTCACTCCCAAACAAATTGTATGTGCTATGTATCTGGTTGGAATTGATTCTCTCCCAAACAAAGTGTATGTACTATACTATGTATCTGGTTGGAATCGATTCTCTCCCAAACAAAGTGTATGCACTATGTATCTAGTTGGAATTGGTTGGAATCGATTCTCTCCCAAACAAAGTGTATGCACTATGTATCTAGTTGGAATTGCGGATAAAATCAGCGAACAGTAAAATCAACTTGATAAAGTGAAGATTCATGATATTATTAGGAGGCAGAGTAGGCGCCTGGTCACAAGGTTGTCCTCTTAATGCCAAGGACAACATGGGTTTGAAACCTGAATCTCACTAGGGTACAACCGTACAAGAAAGAGCCCATGGAGCACACAACGTTGATGCTAACATGGGTTGAACCTTAGGACCTTACTAGGTTGACGATTTGCGATATAAGAAGGCAGTGAGCCACGGAGCCAAAAAAAAAAAACAAAAAAAAAAACAGACAAACAGAGTTATGCTACTCATGCTGACATGTCTGTTTGCAGATTGAACCTGAGGTCCTGAGGAGACAAAAACAAGAGAGCTCTGAGGTAGTCTGAGGAGACAAAAAATGGAAACAGACAAGCACATTGCCAGCATCATGGATTCAAAGTTTCAACTTTTAACTTTCAACTTTTAACTTTCAACTTTTAACTTTCAACTTTTAACCTTAGGTGACATGGGTCTTCAGCCTCTAGACTCTAGACTCTAGAGTAGTAAATTAGTGGTCATGAATCATGATCCCTGAGCACTGGAATTTCATTCAGGAGTGGGCCTGATTACATCATCATGTATAATCAAATCAACAGGTAAAGGATGGTGGACCTAGGATACCAGAGTGGCCCGGGACCACTTGCCCGGCCGGGAAAAAATAAAAAAATAAAAAATAAAAAATTATTTGCATACTTGCGGCGCATCGACATGCGCTGCACCGCGCACACGCACCGCACTGCGCACAGCGCACGGCGTGTGGCGCACCCTGAAAATAAGGAGTAAGAAGAAGAAGAAGACCAAGAACAAGGAAAAAAAGAGAGTGAAAAAGGAAGAAAGTTTTGTCTCCAAGACTGACAGGAAATGACCCGGCACCAACACTTAGAGTACTCACTCTGAATCCTTCAGCTGCTGTATTAGGAAAAGAACCGCAGGGCGTCATAACAACGAACAACAAACATTCCTCCGGCGGTGCCAGCCCCAGCAGAGCTGCTGTGGCCATAATTGTTGGCCTTACATACCTGTGAAGAGATAAACACACATACATATGCAGAGAGAGAGAGAGAGAGAGAGAGAGAGAGAGAGAGAGAGAGAGAGAGAGAGAGAGAGAGAGAGAGAGAGAGAGAGAGAGAGAGAGAGAGA